CAATTTATTGACTACAAAATACATGACTTATAAACATGAATAGAATATACATTGACTTATAACATGACTTATGGATAGAATATACAATCAGAAAGTACACAAAGCTCAAGTGTATCGCTCAATAATTACTTACAAAGTCAATAAGCCATCAACTAGCACCAGATGCGTAAAGAGAACATTACTAGGCACTCCAGAAGCTGTCCACAGACCCCTTCCAGTCATATATTCCCCTCCTCCACAAAAGTAACAATTATCCTGACTTCCATTGCCGTATGTCAGTTTTGCCTAATTTTAAAACTTTAAACAGAAACAAACAACATATTCTCCTTTGTGTCTGGCTTCTTTTACTAAACGTCATCTATGTTGTCTCTCATGGTGGTTTATTTTCATTGTTACGTATTACATATTATTCCATCGTATCAATATACTAGTTTATTCATGCTTTTATTGATGGACTTTTGGAGTTTTCCCCATTTGGATAATGCTATGAACACTCTTGTACATGTCTTTCTGTATTTATTTATGTCACTGGCTTATAGGATAGGTGTATGCTCAGTAATAATATGCTGAACTATTTTCCAGTGTTTATACCAATTTAAATTCCCAGTGGCACCTTATGTTTTAACAGGACCACTCTGGCTGCTGCACTGGGAATTTGTAAGAGCAATGGTGGAAGCAGGAAGATCATCAAGAGGTTTTGCATTAATCCATGTGTGATAAGATGGGGCTCAGCTCAGGACGGTAGTACCAGAGATGGTGAAGAGTGGTTGGATTTTAAAGGTAGAGTTAACAGGAATTTCCTGACAGGTTGTATATGGAGGATAGAAAAAGACAGGAGACACGGATGTGTCTGAAGTGTCTGGCCTAATCAACTTTATGGCTGGAACAGTCATCAACTGAGATTAAAACTTGGCAGCCAATCTATTTGGCATTTTACATTTGAGATGTCTATTATACATCCAAATAGATACGTCAGCTCAGTTTTGTTTTGTTTTTTTTTTTTAAGATTTTATTTATTTGACAGAGACAGAGATAGTAAGAGCAGGAATACAAGCAGGGGGAGTGGGAGAGGGAAAAGCAGGCTTC